TTGTGTTGTAGATATATGTCGTAAATGTAACATTTTCAGTAACAGATCTGATGTTATTTGACCATTGGTGGATGTTGTAACTTTTCCAGTTGGAGACGTGGTAAATATAACATTTCAGTAGCAAATGTTTTTATTTGACCAGCGGCACATGTAACTTTTTTCAGTTGTAGGTGTCGTAAATGTATCATTTTCAGTAGCAGATGTTGTTATTTGACTAGTGGTGGATGCGGTAACTGTAACATTTACAATAGCAGATGTTGTCATTTGACAAGTAGTAGACGTGTATACTTCTTCAACGGTAGTTACTGTCGTTTGGTCAATGATATAATATGTGGATACGCTTCAGTGGAAGACATAGTCAAGTTGATTACTCAATGGTGGATGCTGAAACCCCCAGTTGTAGTTGGTGTTACGTGATCAAGTGTAGATGTCATCTATCTATCTATCTATCTATCTATCTATCTATCTATCTATCTATCTGTCTGTCTGTCTGTCTGTCTGTCTGTCTGTCTGTCTGTCTGTCTGTCTGTCTGTCTGTCTGTCTGTCTGTCTGTCTGTCTGTCTGTCTGTCTGTCTGTCTGTCTGTCTGTCTGACTGATGAAGTAAACAAACGGGACAGGAGGGGGTGAAAATTTGAGAGAATATACAGGATCAAAATGGGTGTTGCAAAAACAAACAAACCAATCAAGCCAAAAAAACCAAAACCAAAACCAAAACAAAAAACAAAACAAAAAACAACCCCCCCCCCCCCCCAAAAAAACCCCAAGGAGACTGCCTGGCATTCTAAGTAAAGAGGGACAGAAAAAATGTGCTTCACTAAAACTAAGAACGATTTTCAAACCTAGAGTAGCAAGGGTGGGTAAAAGTCTACTTGAGCGAAAAAGTGCTCAGGAAAGTTACTGGTGTCTCTGAAGTGCTCTTCTACTGCTGTTTGGAATACATTGCAGGAAGTAATACCTTCTCCGGTGGCAGATGTTGCTGTTGTATCGACGGCAGATGTTGTAACTTCTTCTGTTGTTGACGAGCTAAATGTAACCTTTTCAGTGGTAGACGTTGTTCGACCAACGGTAGATGCTGAAACTTCTTCGGTGGTAATCGATGTTGTCAGGTCATTGGTAGATGTCGCAATTTCGACAGTGGTAGTTGTTCTCGTTTCATCACTGGTAAATGTCTGATCAGTGATAGATGTTGTTACTTCTTCCGTAGAAGATGAAGGAATTGTAACTTTTTCAGTGACAGATGTTTGATCAACGGTGGATGTTGTGACTTTTTCAGTGGCAGTTGCTGTCGTTTGATCACTGGTAGATGTTGGCCCTCCTTCAGTGGGAGACTCAGTTGTCCGACTAACAGTAGACGTTGAAAATTTTTCAGATGTAGTTGCTGTTGTTTTACTAATGGTGGGTGTTGAAAGTCCTTCAGTGCTGGACTCATTTGTTTGACTAATGGTAGATGTTGAAACTCCATCAGTGCTAGACATGGTTGTTTGATCAATGGTAGATGTTGGAACTTCTTCGGTGGTATTTGTCTGATCAACAGTAGATGTTAGATCTTCTTCAGTGGTAATATCTGTTGTTTGATCAATGGTAGATGTTGAAAGTCCTTCAGTGGTAGACATGGTTGTTTTACTAATGGTAGATGTGGGATTTTCTTCAGTGGTAATATCTGTTGTTTGATCAACAGTTGATGTTGGACCTTCTTCAGTGGTAGACTCAATTGTTTGACTAATGGTAGATGTTGAAACTTCATCAGTGCTAGATATGGTTGTTTGATCAATGGTAGATGTCGGAGCTTCTTCAGAGGTAATATATGTTGTTTGACCAATGGTAGATGTTGGAAGTGCTTCAGTGCTAGATATAGTTGTTTGGTCAATGGTAGATGTTGGAACTTCTTCGGTGGTATTTGTCTGATCAACAGTAGATGTTGAAAGTCTTTCAGTGGTAGATATTATGGTTGTTTGATCAATGGTAGATGTTGGACCTCCTTCAGTGGCAGACATGGTTGTTTTACTAATGGCAGATGTGGGATTTTCTTCAGTGGTTATATCTGTTGTTTGATCAACAGTTGATGTTGGACCTTCTTCAGTGGTAGACTCAATTGTTTGATCAACGGTAGATGTTGAAAGTGCTTCAGTGGTAGACTCAATTGTTTGATCAACGGTAGATGTTGAAAGTGCTTCAGTGGTAGACTCAATTGTTTGATCAATGGTAGATGTTGAAAGTGCTTCAGTGCTAGATATAGTTGTTTGATCAATGGGAGAAGTTGGAGCTTCTTCAGTGGTAGACATGGTTGTTTTACTAAACGTAGATGTTGGACCTTCCTCAGTAGTAATATCTGTTGTTTGATGAACAGTAGATGTTAGAACAGTAGATGCTGGACCTTCTTCAGTTGTAATATCTGTTGTTTGATCAACGGTAGATGTTGGACCTTCTTCAGTGGTAGACTTAGTTGTTTGATCAACGGTGGATGTTGAAAGTCCCTCAGTGCTAGATATGGTTGTTTGATCAATGGTAGATGTTAGGCCTTCTTCAGTGGTGTATTTTGTTTGATCAATTGTAGATGTTGGAACTTCTTCAGTGGTAATATAAGTTGTTTGATCAATGGTAGATGTTGGACCTTCTTCAGTGGTATATATCTTTGTTTGATCAATTGTGGATCTAGATGTTGGAGCTTCTTCAGTGGTATATATCTTTGTTTGATCAATTGTAGATGTTGGAGCTTCTTCAGTGATAAGATCCGTTGTTTGATCAATGGTAGACGTTGGACCCTTTCCAGTGGTAGACTCCGTTGTTTGATCAACGATAGAAGTTGTAACCCCTTCAGTGCTAGATGTTGTAAGTTCTTCAGTGGTAGACATGACATCTTCAGTTATAGATGGAGTGGTTTGATCAATTGTGGACATTGTAACATTTTCAGTGGTGGAAGTTACAAAGTCTGGTGAGAAGAACGATGAAGTTATTGGTCATGTTTATTTATATCTCATACCTCGGCTTTATCAGTTTGAGATAAATTTTCTTTCAAAGGTTAGCTTACCCTGGTCAAGGGCACATATTAAAATGTAGCAGTGATAAAGTACAGTGTACATCGGATTAATTATTTTGCACATTCAAGGAATTTCTCCAGGTCAATATAAACGAATGGAGTTTAAACATTCAACCAAAATATATTTTTTAAAATGTTTCTGATGGAAGAAAGGTTTTTCGATAGGTTGAAGATTAGAAATACTTCTTCGGTAACTTGAAATGTGCACCAATAAAAGACAAACAAAAACTGATGATCGACCAAACAAACAACAAATTAATGCAATGTGTTGTCTGAAAAAAAGAGGGAAACTGAAAATATTCCACTTCTTCATGGCACAAGCAGGGGCACGTCTAAACGAGTGACTATGGAGACATAAAAGATCCAGTCCAATCAGCCTTAAGCCAACTAGAAAATGCCCATTAAGTAATTTAAAAAAGAACAATATGTAAAGCACCATGATGATTCAAAAGACATATAAAGAAGAAGGGTGGGGAGGGTTGAGCATAGTAGCACACACACATACACACACTCACACACGCGCGCGCACGCGCGCACACACACACACACACACACACACACACACACACAAGCACACACACACACACGTATATACACATACGATGTTTACAATTAATTACTATTAAAAAAGACAATCACAGAGACAACAATACACATCATAAATAATGTGTAACTTGTTTACAATATTGCAAATCACACCACTATTGTTTTTTTTGGTTTTAGTAGAGGTTTTACGGCGCTCGCAACTGCATAACGTCATATGAGTGCCAGAAGATTAGAGGTGTTACAAGAGAGTAACAAACATAAAAAGGAAGAAGGGGAGATAAGGGCGATAGATTTTTTATAGAAAAGAAGAAGCAAACCCCACCAGAGCACCCGCCAACCACCCACACACCACTATTGTAAAGCAGAGAGACTATTCAGCAAACTTGGATCTCAACCAGTGCAGGCTAGATACCCTAGACAGTATTGAACTCAACCATAACATACATAAAGAAAACACCTCACAAAGTTTTTATATTCATTAGCCAAGCAAGTGCAAAAATGTTACCAAGCAGCACCACACTGATATGAGGCAAAAACAGAGTATACATAATATATTGATATGGGCTCTCATTCTCTAATAACATGTCTCTTGCAAAGTTGTGCTGTCAGTCTGGTTATGAACTAAACATGATCTGTATGTGAAAGCACATCAAAGGCATCTCAAAGCCAGTTGTGTGAGCAAATAGATGTAAACTCCACGGCAAAGCAAATGAAATCTTAGGCTAAGCAGTGCCTGTTAATAGGCAAACAAGGAATATCAACACCACTTGTAAAAGGGATAGCATGCAAACAAACTGTTCTCGCATATAAGAATGAAATGACTAAGCCTCATGCGCAGTCCCTTTTGTTTTAGTAGAGGTTTTTCGGCGCTCGCAACTGCACAAGGTCATATGAGCGCCAGAAGATTAGAGGTGTTACAAGAGAGTAACGAACATAAAAAAGAAGAAGGGGAGACAAGGACGATAAATGTTTGATAGGAAAGAAGAAGCAAACCACACTAGAGCACCTGCCAACCACCCATGCGGAGTCTCTGAACTAAGTCTTAAGAAACAAATTGTTGTAAACAAAAAAACTTAAATGTTCCCTGTTCCTTAGGAGTTCACACAATAATATGTAGATGAGAATGCTGGAGATAGTGTAAACTGATATAATCACACAAGCATACAAACATAAGCATAGCATGTGATAATGTGTCTTTATTCTGTGTGTGTGTGTGTGTGTGTGTGTGTGTGTGTGTGTGTGTGTGTGTGTGTGTGTGTGTGTGTGTGTGTGTGTGCACGCGCACACTGTGTGGGCATGCATGCACGTGCACATGTGTGTATACTTCCTTGAGCATATCTGCATTACGCATGCACACAAGTGCATGATGAATATCCCAAATGAGACTTGAAGAAAAGAGTTATAAAAACACTAACCTGGGGTGGAGGGAAGTTCTGTTGTCACAGTGGAGTTGTCCGGCGTTTCCACTTCCGTTGTCGGGACATCAGTAGTTGACTCATCTGTTGTCGGAGAGGTGCTGTCAGTCGCTGGAGTACCGGTAACTTCTGCATCTGTTGTGGATTCATCTGTTGTTGATGTCGAAGCGTCAGTTGTAGATGTAGAACCATCTGCGGTCGTGTTCTGATCAGATGAGGTTGTGGGCTGGTCAGTTGTTGATGTCTGCATGTCAGTTGTGGATGTAGAATCATCAGTTGTGGATGTAGAACCATCTGCGGTCGTGTTCTGATCAGACGAGGTTGTGGGCTGGTCAGTTGTTGATGTCTGCATGTCAGTTGTGGATGTAGAATCATCAGTTGTGGATGTAGAACCATCTGCGGTCGTGTTCTGATCAGACGAGGTTGTGGGTTGGTCGGTTGTTGAGGTTGAGACATCAGTTGTGGATGTAGAATCATCTGCGGTCGTGTTCTGATCAGACGAGGTTGTGGGCTGGTCGGTTGTTGAGGTTTGTGTGAAAGCTGTGGACTCGTCAGTAGTTGAAGTTGGGCCATCGGAGGAGGATGTGGACACAGGAGTTGTGAAAGAAGTTGAACCATTAACTGTAGAAGCAGTCTCATTATCCGTGGACGCTGTAAAATCTGTAGAAGTTACGGTGGTGGACTCTTCAGTAGTAGATTCTGGTGAAGTCAAAATCGTGTCATTTGTGGTTGTGGAAGGTTCTTCTGTGGTTGTAGAAGGTTCTTCTGTGGTTGTAGAAGGTTCTTCTGTGGTTGTAGAAGGTTCTTCTGTTGTCGTAGTAGGCTCTTCTGTAGTTGTAGAAGGTTCGGTAGTTGTTGTGATCTCTTTCACTGCCTCATCGATTTCCTTACATGCAAAAACAACCTTCCAGCCCCCTATGATAATCTGAGAATAGACAATATCGATCTCCAACACACTGCGACCAAAGTAGAAGGTAGTGAGCTGCCTCACACTGACAGAGCGTTCAATGAAGCGTGTGCTTGTTGCCACCTTTTCCCCATCTAAATACAAGGAAAGGCCAAACTGTACACTCCATGAGTACTCAACCTTTACGGCTACTCCAACTTGAATCTTATCTGTGAAGACGGTCCACTCCTTCAGCTTGGTGCTGACTGTTAGATAGAAGCGGTTGTACTTGTAATACATAGCAACTCCATAGCTGTCCTTTTGGTCCCCACCATTGGTGAAGATGTACATGTTGTCTTTTACAGTCACAACCTGGAGGGAGAAAAGAACATCATGTTGACATCAGTCAATCATGGATGATATTTTTCAAATCTTAAATCTGATCCAGGAAGAGCCTGTCTACCTTAAGCGGAAGGACAATAGTACTGTGACAAACAGTGTAGGCATTGAAGAAATTCAGCAGGTGTGTCAATGCAGAGGGTAAAAGAAAAACTGAACTCCTAAAATTTGAGACCAAAATCAAAGTATATATTACTGACAGCATGACATAGGCAACTGCCATGATTTCATGTGTGTTCAGGAACCTTAAATCTTCAAACACGCTTTGAATGCTGCACCACTGATGTTAGGTTGTTAACAGTCTTTACAGATTCCTTCTTAAAATGATGTCATTCTTAGCAAAGAAAACACAGTTGAGCACAGATAACTCAAACTTATCAGGGATTGACAAATGTGTTTGATACATCCATAATTCTGGTTAACCGATACAGAAAAAGTTTTGAGAGATATCAGTTGGAGAATGGCGAATTGTATGAGCTGTCCGTGATTTTGAGTTTTTCATGTTTGTGTTACCTGTGCCTGTCTATACGTTTAAAAGTAAGTTGTGTCCCTGACTCATTATTCCCCACTTTCAATTCCAACACTGCATCTCAGGCATAGTAGGGTTTGAGTTTTTCTTGTATCCAAAAGGAAAGAATCCAATGCTGGATCACTATTTAGAGGAACACTTAGTTGGTGCATTCAATAAAACAAAGCAAATATTATGCTGGAGGTGGGATTTCATGAGGCCAATATCATATTTTTTCTCTCTACTGAAAAATCTAACTTTTTGGGGGGCTAGGACATTCTAGCAACTTGCCAACGATATGGCACCAACAAATAGCATGAAGAGCATCAAAGCTTCTTTTTGCAAACTCACTCTATTTTGTGCTTTTACCACCGGGGTACTAAGCTTTCAGCATGCTCTCATAAAGGACTGAGTAGACACTGTATCAAACAGTCTTGTCAGATTCTTCATGTCATATTTAAAAGAATCAAGAAAATAACGAAAATATTGCTCTTTTATCCTCACATTCCCATGCCATTACTAACCTTGAGACTAAAAGAAACAGTCAATCCAAATTTGCAGTCATCTGGAGTCCAGAGGCAGTTGTCAGTAGGCAAGTTTGACATGTCCACAAACTGACTGTTTCCATCAAGTTCCATAGCATTGTTTCCAGGGGAAAGTTCAATGAGGCTAGGAGACCCGACAACAGTCAGGTTCAAATATGGAGTAAGCACGACACCCAGGTCTATGTTAATGTCTATGAACGTAAGTTCAATGGTGATGATTTCAACACCTGCAGAAAGATTTCGTAAACAAGGAACATTTCAGAAAATGGAGATGATGCACACGTCTCAAAAAGTATCAACATTTTATAAAATCATTTTGATTTTTCTGAAAGAAATTTCTAGACTAATATAAGCAACAATGCATTTTGTATCGAAAGGGCATTAATCTTTATTTTCATATTACGAGAACAAAACATTGTGTGAAAAGAAAAAAAATCATTAGACAAAGAGATAAACCTTGGAGTATGCAAGAAACAGGAAAGTATGTTGATTAAAAATATCCTTCTTTGTCAATACTAATGGAAATCAATCCCATTCAAAAGATAATACTAAAATTCATTGATGCAGTGCCCATCCACGTGTGGTTCTGGATGTTTTAAAATGTTCACAACCGAAATAAACCCCCCCCCTGAAAAAATGTGTTGTACTTTATACATGTACTAAAATACAACCCTCTGTCTCTCTCTTTCAAGACTTTATACTTAATGAGAAAAAAACAGGTCTCCGAAATGCCCATCCCTGTTAAGTAGACAATACTCATTAGAAGTAAATTTCTTACAATCTTTATTACCACTCTTCAATATATAAATGGATAACTTTCCACAGAAAGACTGAAATACTGCTGAAAAATGACAACTTGGTCAAAAAGATATAAAACAATGCATAACAAATTCAGTGAATCTTGCACCAAATGACATATGATTCAATAAAACCTTGGACTTAATTAAAGAAAGGAAAAATAATTCTGTGCTGTGAAAGAATTGATCAACAACATCAACAAAAACAAATGAACCCTACGGGAACTTACGTGTTATGATGGTCCAGTCCTTACTGTTTGCCACACAGGTCTCTTCAGGGTTGTTAACATTAACAAATCCTGGGCCGTAGCATGAGTCGTCTATGAGGCAAATATCGCTCTGAAAATATATTGAGAAGCATGAGATTTCTAATAACTTAGTACGATAGGAACCATCACAACAATACACTTTCAGATGAAAACTGGTACTGTAGTTGCAATCATGAGCACAAACTCCTGTCTTAAAACAAGGTTGAAAATCTACAAACTGCAAGCCTGGCAAGAAAAATGAGGGTGCCTTCTATCTATGATATTGATACTAAAATAAAAAAAGGAATTAACCAAAATTATAAACAAGGTAAATATTACCCACCCCATCCCCTGAAACATTTAACGCTTTGAACCCAGGACTCCTGAGCCTTAAATGGGCTATACCCTGGGCTCCGGAGTAATTTCATTGATTGTAAAGGTATACTTTTATAAAGCTCATTTTGGTTTTGATCTTATCTATTTATCTAATTTTTGTTTGTTTTGGTCATACTATCCCTATGCTGGTGTATACTGATGCTGCTGTTGCTTATTCGAGTTCTATTTCTGTATACAGGTCATATCAAGGTTGTGTGTCATACCGATAATTCGGTACCCCAACGTATTTGCCACGTTGCGTTCATACCAATATTTTGGTACAGCAGATTCAAGGGGTTAAAGAAAATATGCTAGAAAATAAGTCAATGGCTAGTCATGTGAGAAATGTCACACTTACCTTGAGAGTGCAGCCTTGTTTTCCACATTCGAAACAGATGGAATCATAAGCGACAAATATAACTGACTGACTGACTGTTACATTGCTCTTGACGTTGCTCACTACAACATTGTAGATATCAGGGGATGGAATAGAGCAAATGACTTGCTGAGAGCTGATGAGAGTAGCTTGCACTTCAATCATAGAGCTACCAGCTTTCACTTCAAAAGTTCCATTTGTCATCTGAAAGAATAGGCAATGGTCAGGATGGGTTACCCAACAGCACACACGCATTCACATTTTAATCAAACATGTGACATAAACAGGATATAAATCTAGGGAAAAAATATGTACTGCAACCTTTGGATCTTGTAACAGTAAAGTTTGACTCAGTTTAGTAAACAGTGAAAAAGAAATTAAACTGAATGTTTCATGATAAATTGTAAACATTTAACTAACTTTTACTATAGCCCCATCGACAATTCAGATCATTTAGTGTAAACATTTTACAACCAAATTAAATCATTTTGGAAATAGGCTGCTTCATTTCTACCTATTTGGGGGGGGGGGGGGGAGAGGTGAACCTGGGCTGAGAGGGATACAGCATCCCAGCAGAAAGACATACTTTTCCACTGGAAACAACATTACTTGCAGAAAAATAAGAATTTGGACAATGCCCTGAAAATGATGTCTGAATTGTACTGAGCTCCCCCCACCCCGCACCCCCACTTCGCCCCCCTCATCCCCTCAAGTCCTGTCCTGTCTCACCCCTCCAAAAAAATTGATTAAAAAAAAATAAATATATATATATAGAGCTATATTACGATAACAAATCGTTTTGGTAGAACTTACCTCCATCTTTTGTACATAACAAACCAGGTTTGTCGAAGGCACAAACCCTGTCCCTGTGACAGTGACAGTGAGGCAGTTGGAGAGCCGAGTGTCACAGATACCGTCGGGAGGATCAAACACCACCGGAGGTATATCCACGCTAACAGAACAGTCCTCATCCAAGTATCCATCGTAGCATTCACAGCCATCTGTTAGATAAGATAAGGATAAGATAAACGTTTATTGTCCAGATGCTGGCAGATTGGTTTGGTGCTTCACCTCAAACACACATGCATGTACACACACACACATACATTCACACACACACACATGCATATGCACCCATGCAGCACACCCATGTATATACACTTTCACACATCCTCTCTTTCACACACATCTGTACACATTACATACCAGTACATAATAATATGCTTGCCCTCACAAACTCACCCATTGAACTTGTAACTTTTGCCAATCCTGATGTCAGGAACCCCCCTCCCCCCCAAAAAGCATTTACGATTTTTACTTGCATCCTTAAAGGCTTTTCATGCGTCCTGTAACTTAACAACATAATTATGATGTATAGAAGGCCGGTGCAAGCCGTCCGATCTGGGGTGGCTAGAGTTTTGCTACTCAAACGAATTCGGTTGATTAGCCTGATGCTACTGGCCCGTGGGGATTTCTGCGACCTCGGGCGGCTAGCATTTTTTGCCCACCCGAAGCCGGTCACTTAGATCTAGTACTAGGTAGTGTAAACACGGCCTCGCGGCCTTCCGAGAGACATGAAGCTATAGAGAGCACAAAGCACACCTCTGTGATTGGCCCAAATATAGATGACATATTTCCACCATCTATTTTTCTGTCTTCAGAGGAATTCACGCCCGCAACATTTTTGCCATCAGAGGAACTTTTGCTAATTTTTCTTGCCATGCAACTTCTGGCAACTTTTGCCATTTTCAGATGCAACTTTCTCCTGGGTTTCCCTCGCGAGTTGACTAGATCTATCACCCTTTATTATTATTAATCGGAATGCCAGTGACAAAGTTAATACAAATAGAAATGCAGCGTTGTCATGTTATCAAAGATTCTCAATACCAAGATATTTCAATTGCCCTATCTCGCATCCGAGCGACACTTGGATGCAACCTTGTCTTAGAGCATGACGGCCCATGATATGAGTGTAAGCAAACGTTCCAACGCTGAGTTGAAAGCGAACAATTTTGTCTGCAGACAGAGAGAGAAAGAGAGAGAGAGAGGGGAGGGGGAGAAAGAAAGAGAGAGAGAAAGAAAGAGAGAGAGAGAGAGAAAGAAAGAGAGAGAGAGAGAGAGAGAGAGAGAGAGAAAGAGAGAGAGAGAGAGAGAGAGAGAGAGAGAGAGAGAGAGAGAGAGAGAGAAACTCCCACGGGCCAGAACACAGAACATGCACAGAAATGCTCTCAGGCCAGAAGCGTCAGGCTTATCGACTGAATTCGTTCGGGTAACAAAACGCTAGCCACCTCAGATCGGGCGGCTAGCCACTCCGTATATAGAAAGCTTGGGCTTGACATTAGTGATATGCAGCGTAACTAATTGAAAATGCCATATATCTACTGTGAATGTTCACAAAGTTTCCTGGCTTATAGGGCCTCTGTATGAAGAGATCCTTGTAACACAAATCTATGGCAGACATTTAAGTGGCTCACATACCTTCAGTGCAGACTCCTTTCCCGCTGCAGTTCCTTGGGCAAATCAACACATCCAGCAGGTCTTGGGGAGGGCTCAGAATGTCGGTGCCATTGACGGTCACCGTTTCCCAGAGCTCCACATTAATCTCAATGACAGTTTCACACCTGTGAATTACTGTCGTCACTGCAGACTGGGCCCAGTTTCTGTCGTTTGACCACTGCAGGTCAAGAACACAGGTGTCGATGGTGGTGGCAATCTCATCATTCACAATGCTGCTGCATGTATCAAATGAGGAACTCGTTTCTATGGCATCCCGGCACACCGCTATGGCTTCAGTCTCTGTAATTCCAGCTTCAGGCCACGAAGGGGGCTGAAAAACCACACAAAAAGAAGATAACACTAAAACCATACTGAACTTTTCATATAGTCAAACCTAGTCCAACCAGTCCAAGATAATCCTCAGCAAAAAGGACCACTTCTCCCTTCATCCCTCATATTTTTTCTGTGTACAGTGTGTCCACTTAATAAACCGAACATGGTTAGTCCAAAAACAGCAGTAAACTGAAAAAAAAAAAATTCATTTTTTCCCCCCCTTCTATGTGCGCAACCTCTCTAAACCAAGAACACAGCTAACTCAAAGAAAATCCAGTGGTCCTGCAGATTTCGGTTTAAGCGGACTCCTCTGTATTATTATGATGACACTGTCCATGAGGACCGCCTGTCTAAGATTACCCCTTTTACTTTTCTCCTCAACAGTGGGAGGTAAACTTGGATCAGTACGACTGAATAATTTCTTTCTTTCTTTTTTTTTTCCCCCAAAAGACCTAATTTTACACCAGTCTAGAGTGAAGAGTCATTCATTATAAATACCTTAACTTCATCTATCTTAACACAAAGTATTAAGTCTTTCTGCGTCTTTCACTATAAATACTCTCACTTTAATCATCTATCATAACACAAAGTATTAAGTCTTTCTGGGTCTTTCACTATAAATACTCTGACTTTAATCATCTATCTTAACACAAAGTGTTATTTAACAGCTGGGGTTGGACACTATGATTTTTCAAATAAAACACACAAACAGGGCAGTGTTAACTATGTTGACTTTACAAAGACAACAAAGGCATGACACCCAAGTCCAATGTATGGAGAACTTGGGAAACTTGAAGTAAACAAAACATTCTTAAGTTCTTAAAACTAACAAAAGACTTGCAACTTTTTGGGGGAGGGGGAGTGTCTTAGAAGGAGGGTTGGGGAGTAGATGATATTAACTTCTAAGAAATGACAATCATTCGTCACATTCATGCATAAGACCAGAGGTCATCAACCTGTGTCCCCCCGCTGCCATGTCACCATCCAGAAAGAAAAACTTGGAAGATTAAAATCATTGTATCATTTAATGTAACTGAACTCTAAAGTGTACATTTAACAAGCTTTTCTTGTTGAATTCATAACTTTGAGTTGATGCATTTTAAAAGTGTATTCGGTGTATTGTATTGAACAAGATACTTTGTACTTATGTGGCTGTATTCTCTGTTTAAAAAAAGTTGGTGATAGGTGCATTAGACAATAAACAGCATAAAGCTAACTCCAAGTGCTAAGCAGGAAGCAAATCCAAAGTTAGGAATATTTAGAGAGGGATCAAGGTAGATAAGATCAGGTGTCCATTACCATTATCAGAAACAGCCTTTTTCATACAAACACAAAGATGAAACTTTACAGAAAACTAGAAAGTTCCTTGAACTTTGTAAAAAATAATTAACAACAAAAATGTTAGTCAAACAGAGCTCAACATATAACGAGACTTCACAAAATATAGCACATTCCCAGGAACTCTTGATTGCAAAGACAGGTAACTGAGCAAGGAACAATTGTGATTCAACACATGTAAAAGTATCTATAATTTTTCCTTATTTTAAATTCTTAAAATAAAGTTGACAAAACTTAATCATGGTGAAAAGGAAAAGACTTGAACCTCTGGTTTGTAACTGATTTCGAACTCAAACTCAATCAAGATCTGTGATGTCAAACACTTCTGCGGAGGATTCTGGGTTGCTTTATTTCCAATCAAAGTTTGAGTAATATCCTGTCCTGAAAGTGCAGAGGAGAAAAAAAAAACATTAGACAAAAATTATTATGTAAAGTTCATGGCTAATGCAATTTCACACATTCAACTAAAGCTAAGAAAAGAGCAGATTTTAAATGTTAAACTAAGGGATTAACAAGCTTTAAGATGATGCCAGTTACTCTATACATAATATGTCCAAAAATGACAAGCACCTGATTCCACCATGCCGTGACACATATTAATTATGTATATCACATTTTTATGCTAAATATTTGCACCCTTTCTGATAAAAAATAACCCCTTCATGCACAAGGATAAATCTACACAAAATACACTCATATTTTTTGTTTATACCAAAAATGAGAGCTGCTAGCGATGCAAATTTTGTTTGAGACAATGTATAATTAGCTAAGGCAAACTGGCAACACACACACACACACACATATATATATATATATATATATATATATACAGTTGAAGCCTATCCTCTCGAGTCAGAGACTAATTCACTGCAGCCTTCCTAGGGGATAATTCATAGATCACCTTTGCCCACAGACGTGCACGCGAAGTCTGTTTCAAGTACAGAGCATGTTTGTAACTCAGCATGGCAGTCGCAGTAAGCAGTAGCACTCGAAGTGACAGCAGTCACGGTTGTTGAACACACTCCAGTGTATATTGAATTCTCAGTTTTCTCAACTCTGAAAACGAAATGAAAAAAAAATAGAAAGTAATTTGCAAAAATCCAATCAATAAATTTGCTGAAGATGCAGTCAACAGTTATGATCAAATGTGTGGATGGATCTTATGTTTCTCATCACCAGCTCACCCTTTCTTTCATCATGGCAAACTTTTTCCTTCCCTATTCGAATCGTTTATTTTTCCAGGGGAAAAAAGCAAAAGAAAACAATTATAGTCTAAGGCTATAATTACGGAAAAGTATCATTTTATTAACTAATTCTTAAGAGACTTCTCAAGAGTCTTCCATCCCAGTAAAACCTCAAAGAATTGTGGAGAAGGATAGAGAAAGATAGGAAATAAATTGGGAAATTACAAAAATAGCAGGCATCAAATACTATCTGACAATCCATGCCATGGAACAACAAAGAAGAAAGGAGAAGAGGCTGACAAAAGAGCTCCTGGAAACATGAGTGTTTTCAACAATAAAAAACAAAAATGGAGGAATATGAGCAACAAAAACTGAACCCCTCTCCACCCCTATAATCAAATTAAACTCTATTTAATCAAAGTAAAGTTGTTCCTGTATCCGATCCAGACATTGAGGATTGCCTTGTTAGTGAGACAACTTCCTGGGCCTATTGTGGTAGAGAGGCCAGTTCCTTTCCACTCTGCCTTTACTTCCCCAACTTGAAGTCAGGTACCCATTACGGCTGAATGGACAGGAGGTGGTGAACAAAATCAGTGTCTGAACCGAGGCTCGAACCCAGACTTTCTGCTTCGGAGACGAGCGCACTAACCACTCCGCCACGGCGCCCTCCCTAATCAAATTTAATTCAAGATAATAGAATTTAACTCTAGTTACTCAAGTTGAGTTCTATACAATTGAGTCAACTCTAGGAAATCACACTCCAGGAAATCTTATTCAAACTCTTGGTAATCATGTTCAAGTCCAAAGACAGTTCCAGCTGTATAGAAGCAAAAAAGTTCAGACTGACTGAGAAAAACCCCCCAACAACAACAAATATCCACACAAACACATTGTACACTAAAGTAGGGTTTGTAAGAAAACTGCTTGGCAGTAGGCTAATAAAAAGAGTTCAAACTGTGATAACCTCCAGATCTCTGAGACGGCATCATCATCTCCATTCACGCCAGTGGGAAGCTGCATGTCGTTGCTGGCTTTCCCGTCAAAATTTCCACACAATCCCTCCGTGGTGCCTCGGTCCAGCACTGAAGGGCGAACGTAAACGTTCAGGTACTTTCCACCCAGTTTGCCTTGAGCCTCTTTCACTGTTACGTATGCTCCACTTGTCAGAACAATCTGGTCACATAATAACAATGAGTCTTTACAAGTGTTTTACCTACACAATTGAGTTCAACATTGGCTTTCTCTAATAGTTCAAAGCATATTCCAAAGAAAATGTGGTTAAAATCTGGGGCACATTTATTTGAAAAAAAAGGCATACAGTGGAGTCAGCTTGAACTAAAAACTGTGGGACTGCTGGATTTTTTAAAGGGTTAAGTCAGGTTTTCAGTTTAGAAAGGTTGCTCAAATAGAAGAAAAATGTGAGATTTAATTTTCTTTTGGCTTACCGCTGTTTTCGGGTAAACTGCGTTTGGTTTAAGTGGATTCCACAATATTAAAGTTGAAAATCAGTAAAAATTCGGTGCAAAGAAACCTGAGGTAAAAATATACATAGTGGGCAAATTATCATTTTTCAAAATAAGTCCACTAAAAAAACATCAATTTTCAAGTTGGCCTAACTCAAGTCTTCTAGGTGGAAAAATGCCAGAGAAGTAATTTCAAGCTAAACCAGGTCATCCTCAAAACTGACCCTTGTCAACTAGAATCTGACACATATTAGACAGTTAAGTTTTTAAAACATGGTGCAATAACAACAGTACATCAGTTCTAACTGAGATTAAGTACTAAAAAAGGGCCCCTGCATTGTGGGTTTACCCCCACCCCCCCCCTCGGAGATAAAGAGTTAAGTCTGAACAAGTTCTTCATAGTTGTGAGCACTTACTTTGTATTCATTCTTTGTCCTAAGGACATGAACCCCACGTGTTAGTTCTCCATTGAGGAACATTTGAACAGTCATCGGATAGAACTTGGTTGCTTCTCCGCGACCAGCCCCACATTTGTTCACCACAATGACATCGTCGTGGACTCTCACTGCAACAGCACACACACAGGATGCATAATCCAAGGCATCTGTGCACCTCCTCAGGAACGTCCGTACTTCACTGTCAGAACTCTTGTACAAGACGAACTCACCTTCCAGGTAGTTGTTGTATCGCCTAAAGGGTTAAACAAACAAACATATTGTAATATGCTGAGTTTTCTGCTTAGCTTATTTTTGTGTGCTCTGAAAAGGTCTTTGCCGGCACTAAAAGATAATAAAACATCATAAAAGAGTGGAAAAAACTACAAGGTTATGAGAGCACACTGTGTAGAATAAAAACATTTTGGCACTCAAACTTTAATAAAAAGAAAAGCAGACATACCGTAATTCATTCTCTTGGAAACAATCTGAATTCATCATAACCAAACAAAAAAAATAAAAATCTCTGGTCAGTAAGCTTTAAAAGTGTGGCTGAAAATGGTATTAGGTCTGATTAGCAGATAGAGGACATTACACTCTGGTGGGAAAAGCAGAAATGAATACCTCAGTGGCACTGTTGGCAAAAGTGAAACAGTACATGCACATTAGGCCTAGTTAAATTTTCTCTCCAAAAAAATAACTATACAATTATTTTATCTGGGGATTAACATAAATTAAATGAGACAACAATCCAAAAAATGCAACTTACTTTCCATCAAAAGTTACAATGTGAGGATCTCCCCACGCTGTACATTCACTAGTCACATCCGCGTCTTTCACATCAACCTGGAGAGGTGGATTTAAGAAAAAAGCAACAGCTGTGAAATTTTACACATATTTTTGTTCCTTTGGAAGCTTATGTTCTATCTGACAGGGAACAGATCATTAAAACTTAAGAGAATCTGGTTCCCCGAACTGATGACAGAAAATGAAAAATACTATTAAAAATAGGCAATAAGAAAAAGTCCTACTCCACCCTGATCCGAATCTGTCACGGTATAAATCTTCATACGATTTCCTGCCTCTTAGTCAGAGTGAATGATCACCCAAAAGTAACTCCTTGTAGCAAGTTCATCCGGGGTAACAAATGTGAAGATGAGTTGACCTGTGAGAGTGGGAGTCAACAAGCTCGAATTCCTAATAATAATAATAATAATAATAATAATAAATAGCATTTGTATAGCGCATATCCCCGCTCAACAGCAGGCTCTATGCGCTTTACACTATATTATTACCCCAGCAGACCATAGAACACTCCGAAACATTCTCAGCTTCCCGGGAAGCATACAGTGCAAGCAGCTGATTAAGCGCTCAAACACTAACAAACTGACAAGATCTTTCGCTGTCTATAGCCGGGTACCCATTCCCACCTGGGTGAAGTGAGGAAAATTCGTGTAAAGTGCCTTTCCCAAGGACACAACGTCGAGCCCCTGATGGGATTTGAACCCACGACCTTACGGTTGCGAGTCCGAGAGTCCTACCAACATTTACTTCCCCCTCCGAAGTGGAAAACCGTTGAATTCAAGAACAATTCCACTCACACAAGACAAAAGCATCGCTTGTTCTTTCAGTAAGGGTTTTACTGCACTTGCAATGCAATTAGGTGATATATATTATTGAAGAATAGAGGCATTACAAGAGAGTATCAAATACAAAAAGAAGGAGGAGAGAAAGGGACGGTAGATTTTTGATAGGAAAAAAGAAGCAGACTGCACCAGAACATTCACCAACTACCCACTAACTTATCTCTGAAAAACAGATGGTAGACCCAACAACAATGAGATATGCTTTCGGATGACTGGAAAAAAGTTTTGTCAATCCTGATGCATCATCAAAATCAAAAGAATATGTGAGGCATTGTGGTGAAATCAGGCACTCTTTAAAATAATGAAATTGAAGAAACTGGCATTTTTCTGGCTGTTATGGCAATTTTTATCTAATTTTTGTTTGTTTGACTCAACATCTTTAAGGTACATAAACAAAAACCATTTCTGTGTGGATTTGACTGTAAAATGTTGATTTAAGGCACAAAAATGTAATTTTTCAATTTCTAAGGATTCTTAAGCTATGGAAGTCACCAAACTTTGGTGACCATTTTCTCACTAATTTCACCTCTGAAACCAGGTGACCTCCACCTCCTTCAATCACAAATATCTCGATTTCTATTCAGGATATATCAGTATCTTTTTCACCAAAAGAAGAAAGACAAATGAACAAAATGATGCCAATAACTCCACACGTCCAAAAACTGACGAGCGCCTGATTCCACTGCGACGTTACACAAACATTATACGTCAAACAACTGCTAGAGGAACAAGCTACCAAAGGGCCAGCACATTATATTCAACAGGGCACACTATATCAAAAGATTTCTGCTTTTCTTCTTCAAATTTGACCTGCAAATTTACGAGGGCCAATCACAGTCTGAGCACAAACAAAACATCAGACCCTGTGATGTCATGTGACATGCTAGTTGTATTCTAATCAGCTTAGTTTGGTTTCCGTAAGAGTTTTACTGCACTTGCAACACAATTAGGTCATATACATGCCTAAGATCAGAGGTGTTACAAGAGAGTAACAAGCACAAAAAAGAAGGAGGAGAGATAAGGACCTCCATGATCTGCTGTCCCCATCATTTTATGCAAGAAAAATTCTGAAATTATGCAAACTGAGCCCAAAAATTTGAAATTATCTGTTAATTTTAAACAAAGAATGATAAAGGAAAATAATAAGAAATTAAGCAAAAAAATGACTAAATTTTGCTAAATTATGCGGGCCGCATAAAACCACGGGGACAAGATCTGGTTACCCCCAACTCTATCTGTTTCAAACTGTATCAAATAGGGATTCGCTGAAACTTTCTGCAGTATGCACAGGGCATAACACCTTTTCTGTATAGTTTTCTCAACTACCCACGGTATCTTTAAACTACGTTGTCATCAAATATTAAAAAAAAAAAACATGAAAAGAACATTTGCTATTTTAGACCGTTCAAATGTTCAAAAGAGAGTGAACTTCCAATTTCTTTTCCTGGATGAACAAAACTGTCTTCTGCATGGGTTTCACATATTATAACCTTTTTACATAGGTGTCGCACAGATATAGATTTGACAACATAACATGTGAATTACAAATACTTACATTCACACTTCCAACTGAGACAAGTGAGGTCAGTTGCATTTCTGTCTTCAATTGAGCGGAGACTTGGATGACCACCTTTTGAGTTTTGTCTTGAAGTCCATCCACAAAAGCTTTCACTTTGATTCTCACACCAGACATCCAGTTGAGGTGAGTCAAGCTTGATCCACAAAGAGGGGTTTCATTTCCTCCGTTTGCATCCGTGTCTCGTACGATGAGCAGTTGTGGGAATCGTTCCTTGCTCACACACTAAATGAAAAGAGAACAATTTGATTATCGTTCAAAATATTCAGCGCCACAATCAAACATTGATTCTCTATATTAAGTCTCTCAAAATAAGATATGACCAGTGATATGTTCCTAAGAAATACAAAAGTACTTTATCATCTCCATCCAACTGTGGTCACTTAATATATAATTTTCTTCTTAGTCTTCGGTTACGACTTTTTCCAAGATAAACAATCAGATCATCTGCTCCAGTCTTTTATTAATCAAACAAATAGGCCACATACAAGCTCCTTCCATTTATCTCTGTCCTGAGCCATCCTTCCAAGCTCGTTCCAAGTGAGCTTCATTTCTCTCATGTCCCTTTCCACGCATCCCCTCCATGTTTCCCATGGCCTACCCCTGCCTCGTGCTCCTAGTGGGTTCCACTGCAGTGACTGTCTTGTGATGTTTCCGCTGGGCTTTCTTAAGGTGTGTCCCATCCATCGCCACTTTCTTAGTCCTATTTCTACTTCTATATCCTTTTGTCCTGTCCTTTCCCACAGTTCTTCATTTCTTATTCCATCCTGCCACTTAATTCTTAGAATACCCACAACTTTATAGCTCCTCATTATTATGAGAGTATTTAAAGTGAAAGGTTTGTTGCATTTATGGTTATTCAGAGCATAACAAAACTTCATCATGGACAAAACAAAGGCAAAACTAGACACACAGAAAATTTTACGAAAACAAGTGAGCGACATCAAAACGGCAAACAAAACAGACAAAACAGACAAAACTAAAAAAAACTAAAATACAGGTATGATTACATACCCTCACAGCTGAATCCTCATCGGTTATCAGTGTACTTATTGTCCAGGTACAGTTTGACGCTTCAATGTCCCTGGCACAAAACAGACGCGGAGGAAGGGTTGCTGTCACAGTGAGGAATGATGCACCTTGGCCTTCAGTCACCACAAGTTCTGTCTCTTTTATCTAAACGAACAGGAGCAAAAGAATATTATCAACAATTATCCTAATTATACTACTGTAAGCCTCTATTGTAAAGACATATCTTGTTTATTTGTTGGTTTTTTCCCCACTCATTCTAAAAAATGATTGGTCTACAATGCATAAAAATAGTGACTAAATGTGTGTATAAATATCTGTATATAATTAAAATAAGGAGTAGAGGGTAAAATGTTTAAACATCAGACAAATGCAACTTTATTCTCTAAACAAGGACCTCTCAGAAGAGATTAAAACTCAAACAGTATCAGCAAATATAACACATGTTTGTCTCTGCAAAGACGTTTTTAAATAAAGAGCTTAAAAATAGCAATCTTTAAATAAGCATTCTGTCACCACAAAATGCTATTATACCTTCAGTTCAGCTTTTAGTGAATCACTCTTTCTTTCAGGGCCTCTCGAGCCATCGCAGTCTGTGACAAGACAGGCTTGAACACCGCATCGTATCTGATAGGATTTGACAGAAAATATGTGTAAATGATAGAAAGAGTGAAAAAGTAATTAAATGAAACATGGAAGGAGTGAATGCACACCTAAACGAGTGTATCAACGAGTTGTTAAAAAGTTTCCATGCTGCCCCTCTCCTGTTAGAAGAAGACCAACATGCAGCTGACTATGTCAAACATGAAAAATTATTTGAAGCTCAGCAGAATTTCAACTAAATTAAGTAATGCAAGTTTATGAGAATGATCTGAACAACTGAGAAGCCAACACATCTTCTGCAAAATTCAAAACCTGCTCTAGTTTTTAAAAAGTTTTATTAAGAGTTTTACTGTACTTGCAATACAATAAGGTTGCATAAGCGCAAGAGAGCCCTCCTTTCCCAACCAAATATCAAACTTACTGAGTGACTATAGTGGCAACAGTGCAGAAAATATCTTGTTACCTAGAAAGAAAAACTGCACAGAGGATCACAATTTTGAACAAAATTCACTGTTTTGATGCAACAGCCGCTGAATCAGGACGCCCTTCTATGAAACCGTTTTACCAGAATTCAATATTTTCGATAAAGTGCTGGTAAACAGTGTAGCACAAAGCTGCACACAGAATTTGATGACCACCACATTGCGTTGAAACTCACCTCTTCACCATAGCTGATCACACCAACTGCTTCTTCGTTTAAGACACTTGACGTTCTGTTGCCTAATTCCTGACTTTTGATGACAGCATCATTTTTGTACCATCTGACTGAATACTGATATTCTTCATCACTTTGGATGTCAAGAGCGTCAAACAAACAATGGAAAGAAATTTGAGAGCCGTCATCAGACACTGGAGCTTCAAGTTTGGGAGGCTTATCAAAAGTGGGAACAACTGAAAAAAAAAAGACAGTTAAAACTAATAACTATAGCTTACAACATGTCTCAATAGGCACAACAAAATAATGAATTTGACTGCATAATAAAGAAAAGAATTTATCTGCTGCACGAAGAAATGAATCTGACTGCATAACACAAAAATATAATTGACCGTATAACAAACAAATTAATTTGGCAAAACGTGGGCCTTGGTAACAGAATTGCTTACCAGGTCTGTACAAAGACATAGCAGACATTATAATAAATTATATTGGTAAGAGATAGAATCTGAAGGCATCTCCTAGATCTTTATGCCTTCATATTCTCATTCATTGCCGAGTGGATTCTTTCCATCTTTTTCTGCATTCAAGAGCCAACAGTTTAAAACAAATCTTTAGCAAACCTGAACTAGATCAATAGCAACCCATGTTACTTAGTTACTATACTGTGTGGCGTCGGAGGCCTAGTGGTAAGGCTCTCGGACTCGCAACCGTAAGGTCGTGGGTTCGAATCCCGTCAGAGGCCCGACGTTGTGTCCTTGGGAAAGGCACTTTGCACAAATTTTCCTCACTTCACCAAGGTGGAAATGGGTACCTGGCTATAGACAGTGAACGATCTTGTCAGTTTGATAGTGTTTGAGCGCGTGAGATCCGCAGCTTGCACTGTATGCTTCCGCGGAAGCCGAGTATGTTTCTGAGTATTCTCAGAGGGTCTGCTGGGGTAATGATAGTTGTAAAGCGCATAAAGCATGCTCTTGAGCATGGATATGTGCTATATAAATGCAATTATTATTATTATTACATATCTTGAAGCAATGAGGGCGCCTTGACTTGATTTTTTCAATTCAGTACTATCAGATGCAATCAAAAACTTTTTCGACAAGTTCTCCAAAAGACCTTGAATTTTGGCAATATAAAAGTAGAATGCACTTTTCATATTGAAAGCATGGTTCCCCTCTCTTATTTCAATAATGATAATGTTTTGTTACCATCTGTAATAACCATACTTAACAAAATGTTTTCCTTCTTTCCGTTCTTATTACAACTCAAACTAACAGTTCAAGTTCAGCATAATGCATACTTTTCTTAACAAAGTCTCATTTTCCTATTTACAACTGGTCTGGTAGGTCCCACTTCTTTTCTTTCCTCTCTCTTGTTTCTGTCAATTTTCGTTTTTCTCTGCACTGAAATGTGTTGATGAGATATTATTCAAATATTTAAAAAAATGTAACCTGCTCCAAATTATTTGCTGAGGTCTCTTAACAGTGTGTTTGTAGATACTTATCAAAATAGGATTCAGCAAGCAAACTTTACGATTACAAAAAAATAAATTTAAGCAGTTAGCAAGTGTATGTCAAAAGCTTGAGAAGAAACTAGTAAGCCATATTTTTCTGCCAACTGTTTTATTTAAAAGGTGCAAGCTTGTTCCTTCCAAAAAGTCAATTTTCTTTTTGGATTTAAAAAATAATTCCAGAGTCTAAGTAGTCCTTCCCCTAAAACATTCGCTAGTACCATTGACAAATTGACCATCAAATCACTGACACTACTTACTTGAGACAACCTGCAATTCATCGGCCGTGTCCACCGTACAGTACACGATGTCAAAACCATCAATGATGATGTTTGCAAAGATAGATTCCTTCAGATTCTGACCAATGATTAGATTAGTACTGGACTGGATATTTGTAGAAGTTCTGATGATGTAAGTCACTTGCATTCCGATAAGCTTGTCTTTCAAGAAGAGTCTGAGACCTGTGAATATAAGTCATAGAAATTATCTTAAGAGATGACTGCTCGAGATCACACCAATCTTTCCAAGATTTTGAATATGACAAGAGACAAAAACAAAAAGACTGTTGAAAAGGGTAACCTTTTAAATACTTCACTTGTCATGCTGTAAAGCTTATAAAACCATGCTGTGCACTAACAAACAAAGAAAGCAAATCAAAAGAAGGTCAAAAGAGAGAAAAACATATTTCACTTCAAAATAAAGGGAAATAAAAGCTAATCTCAGAATGACAGACTGTGAAATGGTAGGTTAATAGGACCATAGGATTAGAGTTCTCCAATGAGTGGAAGGTAGTAGAGAGTGAGGACAGGAACCTAGGCAGTATTGTTGAGTACATTGAACATAATAAATTACTGTTTGTCATTCTAGTGTGCAGCCAGAATTTCCATCAGCCTTTCTATTACTATTTATTATAACTGTATTATGTATAAGTAGGCCTAAATGAACATGAGAACATTATTGCTCCTAGTAGCTGAAGAGTGTGCACCCCAAACCATCTCCACGTGCAACTACAGGAAACAAATAAAATGTTTTCTTTGTGAATCTTCTAGCCTACAACAGACTTTATCGATAATACAATGTTAACAGAAGATAAAAAAAAAGATTCTTTTACAAACCTGTTTGAACACTCCAAGAGAACTTCAGGTCCATAAATTCATTTATGGTAAAATCAGTTGTCACCACAGTCCACTCTTTTGTCTTTGTGCTCACTCTCAAATAGAGACGTCCATTCTTCAACCACATAGCCAAACCATAGCTGTCAGGACTTTCAGCTCCATTTCCAAATATGACCATTCCTTTAGAAGTAAGAAAATTTACTGCAAATAGTCATATGTGAAGTAAGGTTTTACCACATGAGCAATATTAACTTCTTGCTGTAGGGAATTCAGAATAAAAATATGAAAGTGTGTGTTTTAAATTTTTAAAAAATCAACAAAACAACATCAACTAGTGTTTGGGCTTTTAAGCATATCTTTTTCATACTGGGCTGTATGAGGTGCAGCCTGGGAGAGTTTGAACAAATGATATTAAAAAGGGGCACTATATTCACAGATGGATACGTAAAATTGTATGGAAAACCTAATGCAAGAAATCAACAGGGATCATAGGTCAGGATACTTTATATTCATACTGATATATTTGCTAATGGTATTGCTATATTTATTTCAACAGAAAAGGGGGAAAAAAAGGGGGGGGGGGGGCTGTTCTCATGAGATTAGTCTCTTAAAAAATATTAATTGACAAAACAGTTAATGCTAGGAACAAAAGCATGATTGCTTTAATCAAAAGGAAAAGGAAAGTACGCATATGAGAGGGACATTTGCTGCTTTAAAGGCAAAATTTAGATGTACATGCAATTTCAGTCTTCATGCCCTGGCATGGAAGGTTATATTATATTAAAATGGGTACTTCATGGACACTGACTTATTCTATAAATCTATAAGAAATAACATATACCATTTCTGCTGATAACCTAATTTAGGCCACAGAATGTTGCAAAACAGTTCTATGAAGCACATACACATGGCCCAACAAGCAGAAAATACTTCGCACTATAAAAAAAGAAAGATACAACCATACAAACTTGCAGGCCTTCAATTAGCCATAGCAAATTTTTCTGTTTGCCTCATTTCAGTGGATAGATAATTATAATAAAAGACAGAGGCATGAAGACTCAATAGTGTAATTGTTCTGACATACAGGGAAAATAAATACATTGGAGTTCTTCATTTCTTTCTTCCAAAAGCAGTGATATATTTGAATCTGAAAACTGTGTGATGTGGAGAGATTAGCAAGATAGAGCAGTGAACTCTGAACCACAGCTGTGTAATCAAAAGACTTTACTGCTCACGTAAAGTTACAGTATAGTCTGAACATTTCCACACACTACAGACATATAATATATATATTATATGTCTGTAGTGTGTGGAAATATATATATAAATCACTTCTTTATTGGGCGTTTGATTATAAAACAGCATTCCACTTCAACAAGACTAACCTTCTACAATGTTCACAATCTTCAGTTTAAAAGAGATGGTCAGTCCAAGGTCACACTGTTCAATGTCCCACAAACAGCCAGTTCCATCAGGAAACTGCACGAACTGGTCTACTCCATTCAGTTCTATCATCAGGCCTCCTTGAGGTCCAGAAACTAAAGTGGGCAACACCGTGCCACCGATGGTTAAGTTGTACTTGGTGGTAATCAGGATCTTGATCTGTGTGAGAATCTCAAGGAAGACGAGACGGGTTTGCTCCACTTCATTCACTGTAATGATAAATAAGAAAGAAAGAGAAGAAAAAATGAATGAGCCCTATTCTTCCAATAGCATACTTATGTATATATATACATATATATTTATATATAGTCGAACCTACCAAGGCCGTCATCTGTATAAGATGACCACTTTCCAATTCACCTCTAGCATTTTTTTGGATACAATGACACTGCAAAAAATGTAATCCTGTCCAACTTTACCACGGTCTCTATATTTCATCAACCAACAAAACCTGTCTTAAGATGGCCACGCAAATCTCTCATCGCCCGACATATTGGCACAAATTATATTTATACCAGCCCCTGACGCTGTGGACGAGCTGTCATAATCCATTCACCTGCTGTTATTGTTAATCCCTCCAATGAATGAAGCGATCCTGCTGTGTAGGTCCCTCCAGCTGTTTACCTTAGTTGATCGGTCAGTAACAATCTTTCAGATGCCGGAGTGGACCGTCATAATTCATTAGCCTCACACACAAATCTAACCATACAAGAATTATAAGTGAGACTTTTCTGTTGACCCAGTTGGTAATAATGAATGTTAACATGAACTTGAGATAAAAGTGTCACTTGTTCACAGAGTGGTGGTGACCTCTTTGTTTATATAAGCATGCCACTTGGTCTTCCTCTTCCGATACATTTCATTTTGTTTTAACCTTGCACTTCCTCGTCTGAAACACTTCCTCGAATTTACAACTCATACTTGCCACAAAACCTCATTTCTTCCCTCCTTCCACGAGAAATAATACAACATTCTAATAAGCCTTATGGCACTCCAAATCCTTTGACCACCTGCGATTGGGATCTGAGAAGGGATTGGTTTGTTTTCTCCATTTTGATCAGTCCCGCCTAAGAAGGCCACCAGTCTAAGACGGCCATGTTCCTCCTTGACAATGGGTGGCTGTCTTAGACAATTTCCACTGAATATAAATATACATACATAAATATATACTTTCAAATCTGCAGTTGAAATACAATTCTTATAACTTATCAACCCGGGTCAAGATCTGAATGAATAAAAGGAGTCATGTTTTTGAATCCCATCAGGGACCTGATGTTGTGTCCTTGGGAAAGGCAATTTACATGAATCATCCTCACTTCACCCAGATGGGAATGGGTACCCGACTATAAACAGTGAAATATCTTGTTACTTTGTTAGTGTTTGATTGCATGCAATCCGCAGCTTGCACTTCCCTGGAAGCCGAGAATGTTTCTGAGTGTTCTAGGGTCTGCTGGGGTAATAATGGCTGTAAAATGCATAGGGCATGCTGTATGCACTACAAAAATGCAATTATTAATTTTTTTAAAAGGGTTTCCTTCATCCTCAACAGAGTGTATCATTTCACACATGCAAACACAGAAGCACTGTCATAATCAAATCCGTGTTTTGTTCAAAGTCATAACAGTTCCAACAAAACTTTAACTTGATAGACCCCCCCCCCCGTTGTGAACCTCTACTGTTACCTTTGATTTGAGTCCAATCGGCGGTGTTTGTTAAACTGCATTTTTGAGACGCATCCTCTGGGTTGGTGAAACCTTCCTCATAACAATTTCCATCAATTAAACAGATGTTGGTCTGAAAACGAGAGAAAAATTCAGGAACATTTTACAAACAAGAAATATTATTATTATTATATTATGTATATATGTGTATATTATGTATAAATACGTAAAAAGATAGATAGATTGATAGATAGTTAGGTAGATAGATAAGTAGACAGATAGACAGACAGACAGACTGACAGACCGACTGTCATTTCTAAAACACAATCAGATTTGAGGTAATAAGATAACAACCCCCCTGTATTGTGGATTCCAATGAAAAGAACTATCAGAAGACTCTTCAAAGCCTAAGTCTTTACAAGGCAATATTATATCTTTTTTTTCGGTGTGTTTTAATAACATTTTACAGAACTTGCAAAACAATTCGGTCATATAAGTGCCGGAGATTAGCTTGTGGATTCCCATGAAAAGAACTATCAGAAGACCCTTCAAAGCCTTAGTCTTTACAAGGCAATATTATATCTTTTTTTTCGGTGTGTTTTAATAACATTTTACAGAACTTGCAAAACAATTCGGTCATATAAGTGCCAGAGATTAGCGGTGTTCCAAGAGAGTAAGAAACATACAAAAGTAGGAGAGATAAGGACGGTGATATTTATTTGACCTGGAAAGAAGGAGCAAACAACACCAGAGGAAGGACCCGCCAACCACCCACAAGGCAATATTTGCATTGTGTTATGAAAACGAACGAACTGAGAAACAAAAGTGGTGACAACATAATATATAAAACCCATAAAAATAGTCCTCACTCGTTCTTCACACTTGGTGACAGTGCAGGTCTGGCACAGGGAGTTGTAAGTAATCAGCTTGAGCGAGGTTGTGCTGAAAACGTCACCGACGTTGGTGCATGAGATGCTCATGATTTGGTAGCCTTCCACAGAGACTTTGATCAGCTCTCCCCTCAAGAAAACAGCACTGACGTTCTTGCTTTGTCCTGTCTCTTCAAATCCTGAGTCAGTTATCTGTTGATATAGAAATAAACAACTGCAGGAGGTCTGTGTAGGTGACTGTGTGTGTGACAGATTTTGGGTTTTTTTGATGAATAAAGAAAGACACAAAGACAAATGAACTTATTTAGTGCTACTAACAATACCTGTGTTTCGTCAAAGTCTCTTAATACTACATATATTCGTCTACCAGTAAAGTGATAGGTACAGAGAGAAAAAAGATGCTCTGTAAAAATTACTTACACGCAGTTCCACCAGTTTACATCTCAAAGTGTCAGTCTGAATGAATCCAAGACCATATATCTCAACAGAAGAACAATTCTTTTGTCTCTTATCACATAAGGGGCCACCATCAATAGAAATCAGCGTAGGCAGCTCACTTAAGTCTACACTACAGTCATCTCCAGCAAAACCGTCAGTGCAGAGGCATTCACCTGAATAAGTAAAAAGCAAATTATAAATAACATTATACTGAGAAGAAAACAAACACAGCTACCAATATTTCAAATTAACTCTTTGAGAATGTAGCGAACACATATGTCGGACCAGCAGCAGACCAAAGGCAAAGCTGCGAAACATTTCAAACCATCATACTACGCAAATCAGAAATAAATATTTGCATATTTCACGACATGCATGTTGTTGCTTGCATTTTTAAGTTCCAGATAAAGAAAACAGATTTGAAAAATTTATAATAATACGAACAACAAGGTTATGCTCTAAAATTACTGAAACGGCAAGTCTTCAAGCCCTGTCGAACAACCTGAATGCACGTCCTCAATGTATTAAAATAGAAACAGACTCTACTAACGCAGCCGGCCAAAATGATGGGAATTGGTCAAGTAACCGCCCCCCTCCAAACTCTTCACACATATTTTTCTGCATTCAATGAATTCAAACTATTCAAAACAGACTTGCAACAATAATGGGAGAAATGTGTTCAGTAAAGATTGTAAACTATATATTGACACTACCTGAATTTTGACTTGATATTACTCCTACTCATATACTCGCTGATACTGAAGAAACATTATGAACTTTCGAGAAGTGATGAGAATGAAACCCATGGGTCTGTTTGTTCTAGATAAGGTCAAATGAGCGTGCGGGAAACAAGTTGGTTGTTTTCACATTGGTTCAAAGCATGGCTTGGTTTCATTTTATGGCTAGTAAAAAATCTAATGGAAAAAATGAAAAAGTAAAACTTCTCATATAAAAAATAATGAGTATTAACAGTTTCCTGTGAAAACCTATGATCTATATAAACTCAAAAATCCTGTTGAGATCAGTGACGGAGAACAAACTCTTCAAGTCAATACATTTAAAATACTTCCTTCTGGTCTCTCCAAAGTCCAAATATTCAACAAGTATATTGTGTCTGATAGTAAAATCAGACTGTCTGATTGTAAAATCAGATTATCTGTATTGCATTCGATACAAAATCAGTTGCACAGCAGGTTGAAGAGCCAGCCATGACTACCTCTGAGATCTAGCACGAGAATGCAAAGAAGAAAAAGAAGAGAATGGTTTTGCTTCTCCCTGCAGGAGGTAGGCCTATTTATGCGTTAGGGAAGTATGTCCAATACACAGTGTCATCGGTTTTCTTCTAACTATTTTAAGCAAATCCAGTCTTGAAAGTTCAAAGTTTTTCTTCAGTATCGGCGAGTCCATGAGGACAACACTATTCTTGGACCTTCAAAAAGGTATTACTTATATATTCTACACTCTCATTGGCAGCTATTTACAAGAAACCTGGAAAACTTGTTCTTTCCTAATACACGTTTTTGTTTACCACTTAAACATCTCTAGCAGGATAAAACCTCAACTGTAACTTATGTCTGAAAGCACAAGAATGAGGGTGTTACAGGAAAAAAAAGACATGAATGAAAAAAACTATAAGTGTAGAGATAACTTTGAGCGTAAAATGAACACGATAGAAGAAAGTTATCGTAATTGGACATTTTCTCTAAATCTATGAAAATCCGAAAAAGGTAGTCAACTTATAAAAGGAGAAGATAAGATGTAAACTTTGACCATACTGATCAGACCTAAAGCATCGACGTATTCAAGCTGAACCTCAATGACAATAATATATAAGAAAGAATATCACTGTGGTCATATCATTATCTCCGAAAACAGCCTTCTCTTCTAAAGCACCATCAGTTGTCACTAAAAAATAAAAACTGAAGTTGTGCTGGAAATGTACTTTTAGAATCAATTCATTTAAATTAAAACCTTTTTAATCATGATTCTGTTGGAGTGTTTGCAGTCAATGAGCTAGACTAAAAAAGGTATTTCTCAAAGAGGAAAAAGTCTTCATAATGAATTCAAGACGATCAATCTACCATTGGTGCAGTTTCCATTGTTGCTGCAGTCATTGGGACACAACAGGTCTACAACAGGAGGCAGTTTAGGAACACCATCGTCAGTCTCAATCCAAGTGTCTGTGTCCACCTCAATAACAATTTGACACTGACGACGGATGCTGTCAACGGCAACTTGGGACCAGCTGGTATCTCCCGTGATCTGAGGAGAGGTAAAATATGATGCACACAATTAGACAAAGAATGTTTTGTTAAGAAGGAAAGATCCCCGCTACACTTTTTGATCTTTTATGGATATTTTAGTATCTTCAAATGAAATAAGCTATCAATATAATCGAGAACTGTCATACTAAAGATGAACAAGAACTCAAGAGCAAAATCCATTCGGCACAAACCTAAACTGCACATTTAAGGTTTTGAAAGATACATTGAAAATGAAAGATTGAACATTCCTCCACACTGTGAATACACACTCTGAGCTAACTGAGATGTGAAAAGCATCACAAAATTTTGATAATTCACTGCAGCAATGAAATTGTCATTTGTAGAACTAGCTTAGGCATATTAATTCAAAATAATAGTCTATAACACTATCCATAGCTATTTCCCAGTTACAAAAAAAAAAGATTTTAAGCAATGCTTCATTGGAAATATTCCCTCCAAGATATAACATTCCACATTTTAACAGTGAAGAAATAATAATTTCTTTCTGCTAAGTAGTCTTGTAAGATGTGAAGCACCAATATAAAGTACACATTTTCTTGAAGCAATTTATGAGAGGTCTAAATCATTGTACACACAATTTACATTTTTGAAAGAACGAGTAAAGTGCTCATTATAAAAAAAGGGTGCTAACCACATAATCTCTGGCACAGAAATTCACAGCATCTTGAAATCTGTTGCCAAGAATGTTTCGGCATTCAGCAACTGATGACGTTCCAGATATTTCTGTCTGACAGAATTCCGTTGCCACCTCTATGGTTACCGTGGTTTCAATAATCTGAAATATACAACAGATCAAACCATGATGAAAGTGAAACATATACTCAATATATTATACATACATCCATGTGTGCCAAGAATTTAACAAACGACTATTTTCAAACGGTCAATCTTTAGGCTTTTCTAACCTAAATGCAATCTATAGCAGCTGTTGTTTGAATTTCAATTTAAGAAGGAATTATAGATACAATACTTGCACAAGAAAATTGATAAATTTTACTTACCTTTTGGGAGTGACTCGTTCGCTATGCTTAAACAAACATGGATGTCTTCGCCTGTTTTTTGGGAGGGTCTTTTATTGACTAAAATGTGATGTTAAAAAGAATCATTTACGTTGAAATTGCCACATTTGTAGTTAAAAAAATCATCATGCATTGCTCACTATTGTGATCAATAAAAGGAGGTACTAAACACACAATAAAATATAAAGTGTTTGAGTTATCAGGTGTGTACAAGTGTGTGTGTGTGTGTGAGAGAGAGAGAGAGAGAGAG